GTTCACGGTAGTCAACAGAGTCACTCTTCTTCTTCTTTTTGACTTTGCTTTCTCTTACCCTTTCGCGCTTTTTTCTCTCCTCTGTCGCTCGCTTGCTCTTTGTCTCTCACTTGGCTCAAACGATGGAATAAATCTTTCATTATGATTTCCCAAGAGCATCACATCACGTCTATTTCAAATAGGTGTCATGGATGGGATTAAATTTCATTTTATTTATGGCGAGTTTACATACTTAGCACACAATTCTGATGTATATATATATCTCACATCTAAAATTTCATATTTACACACATAATACACAAATCGTTAATATCACATAAAAAAACAACACTATTATCACTTTTTAAAAGTGAAATATATATTTTCATGTATAAGTTTAAAACATCAATGCACTATGTATGTAAATAGGAAAGTTTAGGTGTGAGATATGTAAATTCATAAGAATTATGTGCTATGTACGTAAATTTTCCTTTATTTATTTTATTTTTGGTTATCACAATCTCTCTCATAAAAATTTCGTCCTCGAAATTTGCTTAATCTACTCCAAGCCTCAAATCATTACAGGAAATACATGAACTATCCATAAATTTCTTTAAAAAAATTATATCTCATTTTTTAAGATGGAAAGTGTATACAATAAAATAAAGTTCTTGTACAAGATAACTCAACTAAACTTCTTCCATCAAATGAAACTGGGTAATATCGCATTTGAAGCAAGGTAATATAACCACAACACACACATCCTCTAAAAAAAAATACACTAGAATGACACTACTATAATATCATATAAAACATAACACTCATCAATGCCTAATAACATCAACAACAACAACAGGTTTCTCAGACTCTCTACTAGTAAGGGAATAAATTGAGGTCAAACATGTTGACTTAGTTGAACTTGAGTAGGAGTTGAGGCTGTAGACCCTTATCCTTCTTTGCCCACTAGCAGTATTTTGTGTACGAGTTCCAACTAATTTTTGTTCTTCCGAGATCTTTTGGCTAAGTGAAGGGCAATATCTAGCTATATGACCAAACTGACGCTAGTAACATATATGAGAGCCCATCAAATATTTATCTTTGTTTGTTTTCTACATTTAGCACAAGTGTCACTACTGAATCCATCAGAATTGAATTTGTAATTTTTCACATTGAATTCTTTTGATTGATCTTTATGCTCTCCTTCATCAATACTCTTGCTCTCGTGCATCTCCTTATGCTTTTGAATAAGCTAAAAATTAATTTCTGCTTGTCTAGCCCGCTCCACTAACACCGAGTAGTCATCGATTCCCAGACACCAACGATAGCCTGATTGAATCTTTTAATCTCGAAAGGAATCTGTAACGCTTTTCTTCTGCAGTATCAATCAACTATGACACATACGTTGATAGTGCAGTGAATTTTGTTTCGTATTACTTGAGTGTTTTTTCTCCCTGCACCAGATTGATAAACTTGTCTTGCATCTGCGTTTGCTTAGATAGTGTCTTTTCTCCCTGCACCGAGTAGTCATCGATTCCCAAAGGCACCAACGATAGCTCGATTGAATCTTTTAATCTCGAAAGGAATCTGTAACGCTTTTCTTCTGCAGTATCAATCAACTATGACACATGCGTTGATAATGCAGTGAATTTTGTTTCGTATTACTTTAGTATCTTTTCTCCCTGCACCAACTTGATAAACTTGTCTTGCATCTGTGTTTGCGTATATCGGGGTACAAATCATTCTCTGAAAGCTCAACAAAATCCTCCCAACTTATCATCATATTAGGTATGTCTCCTAACATATTCTGATACTGCCCACGCTACCACCTTTCAACTTCGTAATTCAGCGCAAATTTAGTTAATAGGACTCTTCTTTCATTCACATAAGTCATGCTATTTAGTATTTTTTCTATCCTCATTATCAAGTTCTCCATTTTAATCTGATTTTCAGTTCCTTTGAACAAAGGTTGACACAGATCTTGATTTTCTTCAAATAATTATCCACAACAAATATATCACGACCACCAAGCTGTGGTTCAAACTTCTGAATTAACTGTGTCATTGTCGCCATCATCTGGGTCAGGGCATTTGTATTCACATTTATAACAGGCTGTACTTCTTCATTTTCTAACATACACCCTTTTATAATCTTTGGTGCATCCATTTGTTTGAATTAACAGAATTACTTAGAGTTAACTTAATATTTAATTTTATTACTATTGATTACTTTGTAATTTTTCAATTCACTTTTTCATCAAGATTATGTTAATTAATTCTAAATTTTCTCTAATGTTACTTTTGTCACAACCCGACTCAGGGCTCGGAATAAACCCAGGCAGCGAATGATGGAAAATTTATGTTCTTTATGTTTCATTTTCTATATCTAACATTTAACAAATGCAAGAGCCACTGTATATAAGAAAATATAATTTAAACAGTTATAAATTTACCTCATGTCAGGTTGTCTCAATCTTCTATAAATATTCCTCTTCTATAGCTCATCTTTTAAAATTTAAATAAACTTGAAAAGTTGGTTTAAAACACCATTGAGCTAACTATAGCCGGTGAATATTATACTCGTAAACTATATTAATACTATGAAAAAAGAAGACAATATGCATGTGAATTAAATTTTATGTAAATCAATTTAAGAACATTTGAAGGTTTGCATTATCAAATATGATCAATCAAGGTGATTCTAAACAGTCACCGTGTCTTACGATATCATCTACATAACATCTTTTTAATATGTATGTAACTATCATGGGAGCACCGTCTAAACTTATTCCAATACAGGTTCATCAATATCAACATTCTTTTCATTTATGTGCATGGATACACATTCCCCCACTAGTATGTAAGATGGTGAACTTCATCATAACCAAGCCTGCACATGCATTCAGTCTCTTCATCATAACCAAGTCTGCACATGCATTCAGTCTGTACAATTCATATCATATATATCTAGTTCATTCAATTCAATATATTTTGTATACAAAATGTATGATAGTAGTTATTTCTAAAATGTAAAATCATCACAATAGTATGATCAATGATAATGACATATAAATCTGAATAAAACTTAGCAATTGAATTTATGGGTAGCATTAACTATCAATACAACTGATTAAGAAGAAACAAAAATGATACTATAGATCAAAAGTAAGAGTAATCATGTCGATTTCACCTTATGAGATAATCTTTTTCAAATCCTTTAATTTTTGCTATCAAAACTTCAGTTTTCTCACATAATTACATTTCATAATATTCTAACATTAAGATGTAGTAATTTTAATTAAATTGACTACCAATGATTACCAAATAAACACTAAATTTATTTCCTTATCTCTTCTTTTGGTTGATCCTATCTCGATTTTATTGGTCATTTAATTCAATTTCTTGTCTAAATTTAATTACTAAAATTAATTCATAAAGTTTAAAATACTGTAATAACATTTTAATTAAAATAAGTTATAGACTTAAAGCATAAACTTGTAAACCTTTAGCTTTTCTTCAAATTGTCTTTATCTATTGCACAAATATTGACTTCAATCTCCCCAATTCGAAGTTATTATAATTTCAATTATGGTTTAATTAAACAAACTATTTAACATTGAATAAATAAACATATAAATTAAATTCATTAAATAACAAAGAAATCCTTACCTTAAAATGATCGGTTCGGGTCCCCCCTAAGTCACGCACGTGCCTTCTCTTCTCTCTTTTCTTTCGTAAGAAGTCTCACACGCACAACTTTTTTTCTTCCAGCACAAAACCGTGATGTCCTCCTCTTTCTCCTTCACACTTGAGCTTGCTGATGCCATCGTCTACACAAATCAAACGTAAGGATTTCTCGATTCCTTCTTCCCACGAGTGACATTACCTCTTCCTTGGCGTCATATTCCTTCTTCCCAAGTGCACTTTGATATTGTCTTCTCTTTTCTCCCTCGACTCTTCTTCCTCCTCACTTAAAAGCAAGGTCCTTCTTCCTTCCTTTTCGTCTTCCTCTCTGCTCGTCGCATACCGGACCTGTCGACGACACACGGAAGATAAGCCATTCACCTCCTTTCTTCCTCCATTTGCTGCTCACGACAGTCAACAGAGCCGCTCTTCTCTTCCTTCTTCCTATGCTTTATCTTACGCTCTCGCTCTCTCTCCTCTCCTCTCTCGTTCTCTCTCTCTTGTGGTTCGCCCCTTTAGCTTGAATGAAACAATGGAATAAATCCTTCATTCTGATTTCCAGAGAGCACACATCTGTTTCAAGTAAGTGTCGTGAGGGGTATTAAATTTAATTTTATTCATTTTATTTTTGGTTATTACACTCAATAGTTGGAATGCTATAATATCACATTGGATTCTTCAAGACATTTTATATCTCCAAGTGCCTAATTGATGCTATATTGTCATACAACATATTCAGCTGTTAGTATACATGACCTATAAAGTTTTAATTTCAATATCAATGAGTCATTAGATCCAGTTATATCACTTAAGATGTTTGGTCAATCTATCTTGATTGATTTACCTGAGTTCTGAGGGTTGTTGGGGACCTGTAGCGCCTTATCATGCTGGTTGAGTTGCTTTCACTAGCAAGGCTTGTATGATGCTTTATGTCACAATATCAATATGATCCACCAGTCTAGATATATTACAAGGTTATAAAACTTGCCACTCAAATATTCCTCTCTCTCTCTCTCTCTCATTGTTTTTCCCATATATTTAAAATTTCATGACACAAGAACACCACCAAGGCCAAAACAAGAGTCCTAGAGAGAGGCAGATCTCATCACCTTTTTCAAAACAAACTAAAAACTCTCAACACCCACCATCTCTGTTCTTTTTAATTTTAACCTTTGCCAGCCATTTTGAACAATCATCCAAGTCCTGTCATGCTTTTTCGGCTGATTCCCCACTCAGAAACCAATCAGTCATGCATAATCTGCTGTAAAATTAATGACCAAGTCTTCAGACCATAACATCTACTATAAATAATCAATTATCACGTTATTCTTCCTTTTACAGTACTTGAAGTACAAAGTCGATGCTGTGCCGCCCGTTGATCCACCAGAGCCTGTTAATGAATCAATATGAAGCTATTCTTCCCCAAAAGTGTAGATTTGAAAGTTGTTCTATAGAATTATTCATGCCATATTCCGCACTAATTGGTTTATATGTTTGTCACCCTCAATCGGGCAAATGCGTGCGCTGGTCTTCGAGCTGCTCTTTGTAACTCTTGATTTGTATTAATTTACTGGCCTTCCAGCAATGTTATTTATTTAAGAAATAATCAGTCATTGTTGGGAGGACTTGTATTCTTCCTTGGCCTGGATTATGCCATTGTATTCTGAATTTTTGTATTGTTGTAGAGCCTGTGTATCAAAAATTACATTTCATTATGTTTCAAGTTTATGTAGATTATGGGATATTTCCTAATATGGTATGTGATTCCATTTGGAATTTTATTTCATGAGCATTTTATTCTGTTTCAAATTAGTTGTCCTGCAACTGTTTCTCACATCCAGTCAGGATATTTCTTAACGCTTTTATTATTGGTGTGGAAGTTGTATGGTATTGAAATATTTACATACATTCCGCCCAATTTCAACTTATTTACACATCTAACAACTTAAATTACTTTTTTTTATATTTATATCACCTAAATCTTTTCCGTCACATTAGTGAAATACACGGTTTAGTACGATGATACATATGTAGTGGTAGAAGTAAAGGGTGGTTGGGGAGGTTTTTGTTATTTTTAGTTTTTTTACCATACACTTTAATATCATATAATGCATTGAAAATGTCCCCCAAATTTGAATATTTAGCAATAATTTAACCTTCATTATATTTTAATTTAATAATAAAATTTATAATTGATTAAAATTTTTTTGAGGCAAACTTAAATATTTGTCTCTTTTTAAGATTTTGCCATATATAT